AATAAATAATATTTTATTCTACGACAAAAATTGTCTCAGTGTATGACAAAAATTGTCTATTGCATCAGCTTCTGTTTTTTCAAAGACGCTCTGTTTACATGTTTAAGACAAAAAATTTAAAATGACAATTTGAAATTAAATCTACAGCAACAATAAAATTCCAGGGCTTGTACTGCTGTAAAACACGAGTGTCATTGATATAAGTGCGATCAGAAACTATTAGTGTGATTTAGTTTCTGATATCAAATATCATAAAATATCATGTCCTTTAGCGATGAATTGATGTTTTCAGAGATTGCAATAATGATATGATGTGGACAATAAAAAATAGTTTACGTTCTTTGTAAACGAAATAATGTTAACTGTTTTAGTATGCCTTTTAGAGTGCCTGCTTTCAGCTGATAAATGTTGACGAGTAAAGTTGGAGTCGCTCAATCTTATAAAAAAATTGAAAAAAAAAAAAAAAACAGGTTCTAAGAAAACAAGGTGAATTAAATTGTGTTTATTAATTAAAATACGGAGAGAATAAAATTCTTCAAAGCATTCTTTGGAAGAAAGTACATTTGTTAAAATATGGTTTTAGGTAAATCAATGAAAGTGATTTTCAAGTCTCCATATCCAAGAGAATATGAAACTGCATTCAAAGAAGCCCGAATATATGACACTTAAAAATATTTCAATGTATTATTTAAATAAAGCATAGAAACACTTAGGTAAATGAAAAATTAAACTAATTCCTTTGAAAATATAATTAAAGTAATTCCTTTGAGAATATAATTAAAAATATTGTATGGTTATGCATAATTTAGTATTTAATATTTCTTAGTATTTTTGGTTAAATTGAAAGTAAATATACCATGTAACATATTTTAATGTAAATAAATAATATTCCTAGAAATATTAGTGTTTTTTAAAAATTATATCATCTTCATAAAACAGGCAGTCTAAATTATGAAAGAAAATTTTAAATTTCTCTCAGTAATTTATTATTATTTGAAACCACCATTTTATAATCCATTTTGAACTAAATATTATTTTAGGAGCAACTATTTTGAAGTAATTTCAGTTTACTCATATTTATTGTGTTCGAAATATACCACAGTATTTAAGCAAATTTTAATATATAGATGCTTTAAAAATATAAATATAAATCGCTTGATTCTCTCTTTCGGCCCAAGTTTTTAAATGATTGAATTTAATATAATTCAATAAAAACTACTGTGTTTGTGCAAAAAATAGTATTAAATGTTTATGGTTTTGCTATTTGTAGCCATTTCTTAAATTGAAAAATTTAAAGGCTTTTTTTTAATGCAATTAATAACAAATTTGATTGAATAATACTATGCAGACTGAATTATTATTGTATATGAGCTGTCTTTGTTGCAAATTAAACTTAAAGTATGACTGAATAACTTCTGAAACAGTCATCAAAGTCAGTAATACTAGAATGTATAATAACAGCATCGTTGCTTTTGATGTGAATTGTTTTGAAATGCCAATAAATTACTTTATAGTACCTGCTTTTCATATCCGAACGAAAGCGGTAACTGCATTCTTCCTAGATTTTTTTTAAAATAAATAAAAAGCTAATTGGAGTACAAAGTTTAAGTAAGCAGTCGAATGATGTCATAACTCCTTTCCTTTTCATCATCATCTATATAAACTTAAAACTTATCTGTAAAACTATATAAATTTATCTATAAAACTACATCCTAAAATGATAATTATTATATATTTCTCATTTGCTTATATCACTGATCATTTACAATTTTCAGTGATAACTCCCGTAATTGTCTTCATTAAAGGCATGTATAATAAACATCAGGTCAAAATTTTTACAAATAAATCTCCCTTCTCTCCCTTTTTTTGTTGATTGGATTAGAAAGATGCGCCTTCTCCCATATTTTCAATTTTTATCATCGGCTTCTAAAATCTGAAAGACGAACTTGCATAGACAGCTTTATGTATATGGGCATCAAACCAATTAAGTATTAAATGTCGCTGAGAATCAGTATAATTACAGAAGGAAAACTTTCATTTCATTAATGCTTTGAGTGCAAGTTTCAGAGTACACGAGCAACAATATACTATTAATGTCATTATGGAAATACAATAAAATAGACCAATTTCAGACAATCGTATTGAATAATTTGTTTGTCATAATTGCCTTACTTTTGTGTCCTATCGAATTCTTGATTATTTAAATAACAGTATTTATGATAAGAGATTCATTATCTAGAAGCGTGCATATATTAACAGTTCATACGTAGCAATAACTTTAGCTGCCAGCGGCAATGAATTAAGAAGCTGGAACTGCGATGAATAAACAAACCAATGTTTAAAGAAAATTACTTCGCAAAATGTCCATATCTTAAGTTGCCTTAGGGGTATTTTCGTGGGAGTTATTTGTTAAGAAATATTCAGGAAAGTTTCCGCTTAAAATGAGTTTGTTTTGTTAGAGTTGGTATTTCGGTAAAAGTTTACATTTTTCTAATAAATTATTATTTGTTGTCAAATATTCTTATATTTAAAACATTTTTTGGATTGAATAACAAAGCAATGATTGTATCTTCTATGTAAGAGAATTAAATATGTTATTTGCTCTGAGATAAGGGGTTACGCGTAAATAAACTCATTTTACTAACAGTATAGAATTGGATTGATAAACATACGAGGATAAATGGTCCTTTATAATTAATGAATTATTGAAATATTTCATAAATCATACTAGCATAGAATTTAATTTTAAAATTTTAGCTCAAAATTTCTTTAAAATACAAGTTTTCCACCTAAAGTTTTAATTCTTATTTTCTAGAAATAAATTCGTTTGTATTTAGCATTTGGCTGAATCACTGCATGAAATTTTGCAGTAATTCAGTAGACTAGAAAAAATACAAATCTTAAATTAAAGCTGTAAATTAGTTCATAAACAGCAATGCAATAAGTATGTCAGTTAACTGAAACATCTGCTTGAAATGTTTTGACATAAGGAAGTATGATAGCCTAATCTTTCCATTTTTTAGTCGAGTTCCGTGACTTAAGTTATGATCTAGTTAGAAAATAACACGTCTGACAAATTACCAATTAGTAAGGCATAATGGTTTTGTCAGAGCTGTTGCCCCATGTAAGATATCTTCACTTTCTCCCTTTAAAAAAGGAAACCAACGTAAATTGGTTTAAAATTTCGTTTCACAAAAGCGCTAGTAACAGTTAAACTCTAATGCCTTTCTCTGTTGAAACTAAGCAAAGACTGATTTAATTACAGCCGGAAGAAAGCGATAGTACTCAATGGCTGAAAGCGTTTCTACTGAAATAAGTTCATGTCAAGTAATGCTGGTCTTCTTGTATTCAGTTTTATTTACGATGTCATTCTTTTCCGTGCCGTTACATTATTCAAATAACAATAACAACATATTATTTAGTGTAAGGTGCATCAAAACAACTGGCTGCTTTCAAACATGGATAGAAATTATAGTCTCTGAATGGCACTGCTATAGTAATGGACATCATAGGCAGCTTAGAATGCAGCTTAATTTATATGGAACGTTTGACCATGTAACACCATACTGTCGTTGTAGAGTTGATAACGTGATTTAGGAGAAATACCAGTTTTGGGCTCCAGACAATCCACAGGAACTGCATTAAACGCTTTCCGTGGTACCAGAGTTACAGCATGGCACCAATGTTTAGTAGGTAGGTAGGTTACGGAGGACTGGAACGCCTGGTGTCTAACAGAGGTAAACAAGCATGTGTTCCAAGCCCTCCTCTAGCTACGGCAAAAGCTTCCTGGAACACACGAGGCTGCACCAGGAGATTATTGAGGTTGTCAAAGGGAAGTACATGGCCTTACAAGGGCATTAGTAGGATTGTATTACAGATTGAAGAGGCAAGCTGTGGTGTTACAGATAGTAGGTAGTTAAACTAAAAATACTTGGATAATAAGACGTACGCATAAAAAGACATAAAAATGCATAGGCAACAATACATAAAGCACAATGCGTAAAATGCATAAACAGAGAGAACAGAAAAAAAAAAAACAAGTACATACACATAGTCACTTAAGGCACAAAAAGACAAATGGAGTACATGAAGTCATATGAAAGCTGGAGCACAATGTTAGTGTAAAGCAGTTCTGTTGTATATAAATAAAGGTACATCTTGAATGATGAATGATGAGTTCATGAATACTCATGTGTGCAAAAGAGTGCAGTTAGATTGCTAAGGCGTTGATTATTGTAGCGTCAGGCACTAAGAACACTTACTAAAAACATAAATAAAAAACACTGATAAAAAGGCACGAGGATGTTGTAGCACTAATTATTGGGCAGTGCCCAGCAGCAATGTGTGCACCGCACCTTGAGGCACACAAGCGTTCACTAACACTGCATAAGAAGATGCTGTTCACATGCTGTTGAAAGGATTACACACGTATCATTATGGAGGCATTAACACATCTCACTAAGGAGATGCCATTATATTTGCGAATTGTTAGCATTGCCACTTTAGATTGTGGGCAGGGGAGCTTAAACACACAGAAATTTGTGGTGAAGCCCAGATATTGTAAAATTCATTGGACTAGTCTTAGAGCTTATCGTCAGTACAGAGCCTGGGTGCCGAAGCCTGCTGACGGCGTCATTTTAGCACGGTAGGCAAAGGTCTGTGCCCAATGCCGCGATGGTATTCATGATGCTGGAGATTGAATTAACCGCTTCCTTTATGCGTTATAAGGAACCGGTGATAAGCGGTCCTATTATTTGTAGGTAGCGGGAGATGGTGTGCAGCCGTCAAAGGACATTCAAATACGTAATGGTCTAGTGACCCTTCTGATCCACAGACACAGATATCGGTATTTGAGATGCCGTGGCGATTGTAATAGATGGGAAACGGGCCCTTACCCGTGATGAAGTAGGTGCGAGGTGCTACGGCAAAGAGTCGATCGGTGGAAACTTTCGGGAGGTGGGTGAAAGTCCGTCTGCCTGTCTCGCATTCGGTACACTCACGTTGCCATTGGTGCATTCCTTGCTCTCGTAGGAGGCCCTTTAGATAAGAGCAGGGCGCAAGTACGGTGATGGGTTGGGCTGTCGGGTTGGAAATTGCATCTTTGGCCAACGTGTCAGCAGCCTCGTTGCCCTCATTATTCGCATGGGCTTTAACCCAGACTAGATTGAGATGGTAATGAGGATGTTGCATAAGGAGATGTTGGAGACTGAGTATGAGAGGTGAGACATGATGATGGTTCTCAAGTGCAACTAAAGTTGAAAGGCTATCGGTATAGATATTTGTTCGTGGTATCTGGCAATCTATGAGATGTTGCACTGCTGCCGTAATTCCAAGTACTTCCGCCTGGAAGATGCTATTGTGAGTGCGAAGTTGTCCTTGCCACTCGTGTACAATTTTGCCATTCTCATAGTGCACAAAAGCACTGCCTACACCAATGTTTAGTAGTATGTTATCATCGGAAATATTCAACATATTCCCCTCTTTTAAAATGAGAAAGGATAAACAGTTACTGCAAATGCTTAATAAGCACCGCCATGCTCGATTTTGATGCATCCATGGAATAATTATTCTATTCCCTCCCCATTTTGTTTTGCTTTTCCTTTTCGCATTAATTGCATCTTAGATAGCGATCTTTTGTAGAAATAAAATTTTTGCTTACATCCTGAGTCGTTATAAATTATGCAGTTATCTAATGAATACATGTTTATTGAAAAGTAAATGGAAAAAGTATAATATTTTGGAAAAATCACTGCATTTTTAACGCAAAGTTTTATTTTTTTCTAATGTTTAAATTTAATCAATCCTAGTTTATTTAATATACTGTAAATACTCTTAAAGACCTCCCTGTTCGTTTTAAACAGGAAAAGATAAAATAAAAACACTTAATAAAAGATAACATACATTAAGCATCAAAGAACGCTTTGTGTATATGCAATATGTCATGGGAATCTTCTCAAAAAAAGGAAAAGCCGTAATGTTTTTATTAACTTAAGATATTGTCTTGCTTACCTATCTTGTTAATATTGCGTAACATTTCCATAATAAAGTTAACTACCCGAACTTCTGCACTTCTTACTCAATTTATTTTGCATCTGTTCTTGAAAAAAAAAGTAGCATTTTCTGAATATCTGGCAACGTTTCCCTTTTAAAACGTAGCCCAGTATTAGTAAGACTCATCCGTTGACCGAGCATTAGAGATTAATGAGTAATAAATGTTGCATGTTAATAATCTTTAGTTTCAACTTTCTTAAGCCTGTTTGAAAACTTCATATCATTGCAGAAGCGGATCGCACAACAGTTGTGAGTATCCCAGTCATCATAGATATGGTCGCTTGTTTCGTTGTCACTGATTTCAGGCTTTTCGAAATAAAAATTATAAAGAATCCTGAAATGTAATGAAACATTACGATTAAGAAGTGTTATATCCTAGTCTAGAGTTATTATCTTTCAATCAATCTGTTGCAAATGCGATAACAACACTGATTTACAACAGATGCAATTTGACTGACTTGCTAATTTCCAAGTTAATCGGTCCGAGAAATTTCGCTACATTTTAGTTCAAATTGGCAGCGAATTGTGGAGTCGAATTAATGCATCATTTATTAAATCAAACTGTGAGTGATAAGTCTGAAGTATTGCATGATAATGTATACTTCGACCAATGATGTCGATATAAAACTGGTGTCTTTGGTTTTACATGTAAGTACAGAATATAATATGTCTATAGCTGCATAAAAGTATATTTTCGTATGTGTATTTACACTAATCTAAAATATCCATATGCACATAAATACCATGCCAAAAAATAAAAAAAATTCCACATTACCAGATATTTCAATTCTTGCTTTACATCTAAAATAAGCTATACGTTATTTTGAAACTTTTACAACAACAACAATAAACTCATCTTAAGGAATTTCAAAAACAAGATTATCCTTTTTTCCTCCTTTTAAAAAATATTTTCTTGATTTTTTTAATCCTTTAAATTCTTGAAGTCGTCATGCTTACTAGATGCAAGGTCTAGTACGATAATTTGTCGGATGAAATTTTCTTGTATGCCACTTCCTTTGCAGCCAGACATCATCAGGCAAGGCGATATGACTAGCAATTGACGACCAGTGCTGCCTGGTGTCGTATCCAGGTGGTGCCCTGCTTCCCTGGAAGGGTAATAGTGGATGTTGAACCTCCACGAAATGCCCACAGGGTGAGTGGACCTGTAGTGTGCTTAGTTCACGGGGCAGGGCAGCCAAGATTTATCTTGTCTTATCTTACAAACAGCCACAGGATGGTTGCAGCAAAATTCACACTTGATATATTCCACAAATACGCATATATCTGAAGGATAAATTAGTTGTTTAATAAATCAGATACCTCATCATTGTTAGATGGGCCGGCTCTTGTGATTAGTCATATGACCAAGATTTCTTGGTTAGGTGGGCTGAGGGCTGTGCCCTGTTAATACACCTCATCATTGTTCTACAAATTAAAGTGCCAATTATTTAGACAGAAGGCAAGTCATTATTAAAATATATTTATATGTAATAGATACAAAAGTTTAATCCTGCAAAATATTTAATTCTAACTAAGGAAAGAAATAGTATTTAAACTTCTCGATTCGTTTTTATGATTAAAATATTCTGATACCTTGGTGGTCTTTAAATTAAGTAGATTATACATTGATCACTTTTGATTCGAAAATCTCTATGCATGCAGTCGTCGTATTAAGGCGAAGCAGAAGAGTATAAATCTACGTTTCAGCAAATTGTTTATATCGTTGTTGGCACAAGGAAAGAATTACCAGTTTTTTTAATACTATCCACATAGTATAAATGGTGGTTAACGTGTGTCTTAATGATATGATTCACGCAGTTCTTCAGGACATCCCGAAATATCTTTCTAACACCTAACACACAACCCTTTAGGAATCCAATTTTTTTTTGGTATTAAAACTTGTATTTTTATTATTTTATCAGTGGTCTATCAAGTTACCACAAGAGTAAATCCTTTGGAAAATCATGGTTTCTACAAAAACACTAAACTTGGGTTAGAATAGTTTTAGTGTTTGGAATATATTAGACTAAATATGGATTATTGTCTTTTCACTTTTAGGTTGGTGCCTAGAAATGCATTCAGGTTTTATCATAATTGATGGTTAGAATATTTCAGTTTAATTTAATTTACGAATTTGAAACTGTGCGTTTTGAGAACTAATGATTAATTTAACGTGTATCAATTCTTCTCAGGTGTTTTGAGGTATCTTCATTATTGTATTTCATTTGGTGGCGTTAAGAGATTTACATTGGCAATTGTACTATCTACAGTTTGGGAAAAATATTGTATACTAACATTTATGTGTATCATGTGGCTTTAGGCAAATTAATTATGGAAACATTAACAACTGTAGAAATGACCATTTTAGATTTGGATTGAGATAAAATGAAGTTTATTGAGAATGTATATTTTGATTTTAACACCATGGCACTAGACAGGAATAACCACGTTTAGCAGAGTATATAAATATAAAATTGCTTACCTGATTTTAAGATCAATCAATAAATACTAAGCCTTAGAAATTTCTTAATAAGACCAGGAAATTTGGGTGATTGGCAAAGCTCAATTCATCATATCAAAGCTATTTTTCTGCATAACGGTATAATGAAGATTGTTTTAAAGGATAATCCAAAATAAGATTTAAAATTTAATAAGAAATATAAAGTTTCTGAAATTAAATTTAATCAAGTACTTGTTAAAACCGCTACGGTGAATTCCAACATCTGTATAGAAATCATAATAATGAGAGAAAACGAAAATTATCGATATGCAAATTGTATATAATCGAGTTTAGTTAATGGCTTAAGAGGCTTTGTTTTATTTGTCACATGCACTGTATAAAATTGTTAGTTAAAATATAAATTAAAAAATTCCCGGAGATGATTGAAGGAATAACATAAAATGTTATATTTAAAATGTAGTCCCACAGGAAAAAAATACTGGAAAATGAGAGAATTACTTTCATCTTGAGTTATAAAACTTGAAACACTTTAATGGCTTCAACGAAACAAATTCCACAAGGTACTTTTACAATTTATTTTCGGTTCTACTTCATGATTGCCATTGTCTGCTCCTATTGCCATTTAACACATGGCCATGGAAGAAAAACAAAAAAATTAGTTTGAAAACTTCTCGAGCGTTGCTTTTCTTTTCTAAAAGCAAAGGAATTAGAAAATGAGAAAGTTCATCCATTTCCCTAGGGCCGACAGAAATGTCAATTGGACCAGTTTCGGCTTTTCACACGTGTTAAGCCGACGGCATTTTTATTCTCATTGGTAATAAATCTTATTAGGGAGAAATCCCTTCTGGGGGGATTCTCTTCAGAGTGACGGAAATGCTTTTAATATTTGCCAGAAGAAAGAAAAGAGATAATGCACTGATAGTGTAGGATTTATGTTGTTTTTTGAAAGTATGTTTGATTGCTGATATTACTTTCTGTCTACATATAAATCTCAAAACTAGATGACATTCTTGACGCATAAATTCTGACAATTCGAATCTTCCTTTGCCATAGGTTTTTGCATTGTTGTTTGTTTTTCAAACGAGCTGCTTTCGACGTATGCTAATCCTCTATTCGTTGCTGGGAAGATAATAATAATAATGATAATAAACAGATTTACTTAAAAATTCTTAAAATTTTGATTTTAACATTTTATATTTCTTAATAAAATAACTACGCAGAAAAGAATAAAATGCATAACATTTAGCAGGTAACTTGAAAGATGAATAATTGCCAGTACACCTAAAAAATTCCTTTGGTGAAAATAGTTCATTTTTATTCCGATATTTTTCGCTTACTTGTGCATAAACAGTTAAGTGCATAAAGAGAAGTAACACAGGGGATAAAAATTGAGTTAACTAGGCACAAAAGCCAAATCTATGTTAACTTTGTGTATTTTTCAATATAAGCTCCTTTTATGTCAATGTATTTTGCTTGCATTTTTGAAATTGCTCTCCTTCTCAAAGCAAAACATTCTTCCTTAAAAAGCCATTCATCGGCAAAATTCATTGCAATTGACATTATCATCACATGCAAAAACACATCATCCACGGTTTTCTGCAAGATTTAAACAAGGAAAATTCTCTTAAAAAGCATAATAGAGCCAAATATGAGAAAAATTGTTCTAGAGTGGCTGACTGAGGTATGTTTTAAATTAACGAACTGTAAACCTTTCTTTGCCTAGCCTTAAGCGGCTTTAGGGTTGACAGAAAATAGCATAGGAAAGTAGGGTTGCTATATGTAGCGCGAAATCGCACATTTGGCACATTGCGATATGCCATAGACGAATGGAGATCATTCTAGAATGAAACCTGTATTCTAGAATGAATACCGGTTTGGCCCAGAATGTTCTCGAAGGCAGGCGAAAAACTATATAATCCCTGCCTGTACGCTTAGTAGCAGTCTTAGTGTCGAGTGTCTC